AGGGTCGACGTGTGCGCAGTGTACGCACGCACGCACCGATATACAAGGTGTCTCACCCGATTTTGACATCTTGATTTTCTCGCTATTGTTACTCGTAGCAAAAAATGTTTCAGCGAAGGCTTGAATGGTATCGAGTGGAGCATATTCTGATGTTATTAATATTTTTCAAGCCTCCGCTGAAACGTTTTTTGCTACGAGTAACAATAGCGAGAAAATCGAGATGTCAAAATCGGGTGAGACACCCTGTATACCCTACGCGTACACACGCCAGCTTCTGTTTCTCGCCCACGCCACGAGGTCACCCAGCATTCGAGCACGATTGGTCGTTGGAAACCGACTATCTATGGAATCAACGCTTTTTTTTTTTACTTAGCTTGTCCTACTTGAATTTAATACGGATTCGTTCGTGTGGTAAACTCGATGCTTCCGCGCGTAACATACGTTGATTATCCCACCAATTAGGTTAAACGAATGGCTTTAACGAAGGTATCGAATGCGTTAGCGATACCATCGAGGACATGAAAACTGTCGCCGCATGGTAGTTCGACCGAACCCCTGGTCTGCCCCAGGGAATTGTAGCCTCTAATACGTACGAAGGACGCGTACGCGCCGCCTCTGTGGCGTATCGTAGCTTAGGCGCGTGTACTCGTACGCGACGAGCCCATAACTCGATCCATCAACGAATTCTCGTCTTATCGATCTATCCAATCGTCGCTAGTCGAAACGAACGATTACGACGTTTTCGAAACTATTAGACGTATTCGTCGTTGGCCCTCATCCGTACTTCATTTTCCCAACTTAATTTGTCAACTTAATCGATTATTTACCCTTCCCGTTCAACGACCAATTCATTTTCAATCTGTCTGATTAACGACGACTCTCGAATCTAGGGAGATCGTTGAACGACTAAAGTGGAGGAAGAAGAATGCATATATAATTGGAGATAGCGTACGTCTCAAAGATCGCTTCGAAAGCAGAGCAGCAGTTCGACGAATAAGGTGCCCGTTATCTTTAATTCCGGCGCAGGCATGTCTCGAGGAGAAAAAGAAGGAAAGAGGAAAAGACCTTTGGGAGCAAGGGGGTCGAGATTCTTCCGTGGGAGGAAGGAGGGGGAAAAAGGTCTCGAACTCCCGAGAAAATACACGGGAAGATGGATACCTGGCTGCAAGTAACTATATATCTATTGATCGTTCATTCATGCCGCCCTTTTGGCTCCTCCTCGGCCGTTCGACCGACCCTCCTTCCACTCCCGCCGACTCGTCCTCCTCCTTCGTCCACGATTCTACCAGCGTCATCGTTCTTCCCCGTTCTACCTCACGGGCGTCAGAATCAGTTCTGCCAACTGCGAGTCGCCCAAGTCCAAGCCTCACGGCATCTCACGTGCCCGTACACGGACACGACACACGTTTACCAACCTATACAAGGGGACTCGGTCGGGGAGCAATTGGACAGGTCGATCCGGCCAGATAGGAGTCGACGAACGCGTTCGTCGGAATTTCGACCCAATTTCGCGGGTTTTCTCGATCCAAGACGCCGTATCGTAACAAGAACGTCTCGTCACGTGGGTCTATGTCTGTCCTCTCCTTCTATCGAAAGGCAGAACGACGGAAATTTCTTTAAAAAAAAAAACTTAGAACCCCCTACACCTCCCCCTGTAATGACAACATCGAACGAAACTCGAAGACCGGCTGATCAAAGCCATAGTGTACGACCGTGCGCGATTATTCGCCCTTCGATGCTCGCGATCATCGAGCTCGAGCACGACGGGTTGTGTTCGATCGTGTCGAGAGTGGATACACGAGGGACGCGATTAGCGAAGCGAACGAACGAACGAAACGACTGGCCGGCACGCTCCGAGCCATTATTTAATTGGCAGTTACGTAACTACGGCCTTTACGTGACGAACCGGCCCCACGGATCTCTAATAAATTAACGTCCGCGAGGACACTCGGAGCCAGGATCGTCGACCTCCTTTCGCGATCGTCGACGAACACTTCGAGGGGAAGCTACCTCGGGGACGAACCGCCGACGAGAGTTTCAGATTTCGGAATCGATTCCCCGCCGTCTTTGTCCACCTTTCGGCGTCGGAGCATTTTCGGTGCTCGTGTACCTACTCTCCGCGACGGTTTCACGTTTCGGGGTGGCAAGTTTTCTCTCCGTTCGGTATTCCGCGGAGCACGAACCCGATGCGTGGGGTGTTCGAAAGTTAAATTACTTCGAGAGCAATACTCGATGGCGTGTTCGTCGCCTTCCCGACAACGCCTGCCTACGATCGTACAAGGCCCGACGACGTTCTTCCCGCAGACACCGCGAGAATCTCTCGAGCCTCGATCGTTCGGTACACGGGCCCATTAAATATCGGCGTTCAAGCGTCGCACGCTATCGTGCAGCTTATTACGTCGAAACATGTTGTCGGGGGAGGGCGAACTCTTCGACGAATCTACGGGATGGGATTTAAAAGCGCAGGAAACGGGAACAACGTCGAGTAGAGATGGTTTGAACTGTTACTTGTGATCCACGAGTGATTCGATCACGTTCGTTCCCAATCACGGTGAGTTTTCACAGTGATTCGTGATTTTTCGTGATCGTTTCTGATTGGTGGAGAAAAATAACAGTTCTTTATACGCGATGCATAACCTGTATATTTTATATTAACGACATCGGGACAAAAATTCATATTAGATCGTATAAAGTGAAGGAATCATTAGAAACATGTTACCTAGCAAATTATACTTTTAGAATTTCCTGTTTTTTCTACTGATTTTTAAAAACACAAATAGTAATGTAATTCATCGTAAAACCATATCGAATACGTTTTTCTATTTAAAAATCAAAGAGTTACGATCGCAGTGAGCTACTTCACTCAAGATAAAAAAATCGCAATCACGGTCGTGAAAGAAGTTGAATCACGACCGTGATCGTGATTCGGCGATCACTGTGATAAATCATCGTTAGTGATTTTGCACGCCATATCTAAGGTCGAGTGCAATTTCGGACAATAGACGACCTCGGAGAGAAAGAGAGAACGCTACGATTAGGGTCGGTAACCTTTATTTTCGATGGTCTTTGGACCGTCGTGGTGGGGAACGAGCGAAAAAAAAAGCGGTTAGATGGAACAACCACGTAAAAGGTGTCGCATGCGGCCGGCCGTGGACCAGTGAACTCACGATCTACCGACACGGCGTTTTAATGAAAGCGATAAATTGCTTCGTATAAAATAAATTCCCGATGCGGGCCACACAGAATTACGGCCAGGACAACGAAAATTCGAAGTGGATGCCTTTTGTGTATTTACGAGCGGGCTGCCCGCCGAGAAAAATGACGCTGTACAAATTAACGGGCCGTCCCGGTCTTAATTAATCTTAAACGCGCGGCGGCTAGTGGAACGTGGGCGAATTTACGACGAGAACTCTAGTACTTCACCGTGTAACCACAATTTCGCGCGCGAAATACGATTAGCTGACACTTTAACGCTCGTTCGGAAACGAAGAATCTCTCTGTCGTCGTGGCAGATTTTTTTCGCGTTCGCGAAACACTTTGGAAATGGTTCTCGAGCCTGGACAGCTGGAAACGTGTTGTATTCTTTGATCGATTATGATTTAACTTGGTAGGATACATAATACTCTCTCTCGGCTGATTCGTTACGAGTATTTATGAACCAACGAGAGAGCCGGACACCGCAAACTGTTCGCCGTTCGAGTACGCCGCCTCTGTGGCTCGATAACGCCAGCTAACTCGATAAAAACTTTAACCCACTTTTTATCCAATTATTTTAATATCGCTCGGGGGAACCGGCTAGAACACCGGCTCTTGCGTCTCTAATCACGCGGTATTTACGATATTTTCGGTCCACCCCTGCGCGTCACCCTTACTGGTCCCTTGGACATGGAAAATATGGAATTAATTGAATCCTAATCGGGTTCGATTGAAATCGACATGAGGCAGAAAAGACGTTTCAGTGTGGACCGGTTAGAATCGTTAAAGAAGGGACAACGAGGTACAAAGCAACGTGACGAATCGTGGCGAAACGACATTGTAAAGACTCTTATGTATACAAGTTTTATGTATTCCCCAGGGTTACAATAGTAGCGTTCCCATAAACAACACTGTTTTGCTGCATTGGCGAACACGAACAGACAGCACCGGCTGATAAGTGACACGATGAAAGCTCGATACTAAGAGCAAAATAAACCGGGCCAGCAGGACACATACGTACGTACAGGTACGTCGAACGGGATCGGAGAAATGACCCATCGTATCTTGTAACGGTCATTTTCTCTACGACGCTTCTTTGCTACGACCGAGATTTCGGACCCAGATTTTCATCGTGAAGGGTTAAACAAGAGAATCTAGGTAGAGTTTGTCCAGTTGAATAGTTTAACCGTTAACAATTTTATTTAAAAGCCGGTAGTTTTGCAGTTCTCGAGTATCAGAGAAATACGAAAGAAAAGCCTATCGTCCGGCCGGTCGTTGGCAGGGAAAACGGGGTAAAGGGGTCAAATCGGAGAAGCGTGAAAAACTTGGGCAGCGAGTAACCAGTACCGTCTCTAACGATCGAGTAAGCATTTTCCGTTGGCACTGCCAAAATAATCGACACGGCACGCCTGTATCGTGTGGATACGAAAACGTGAAAAGTCAGAGTAGATCGAGGCGACACGATTTTCCGAAGAAAGAATTCGTTCGGCTTCCTTGTCTACCGTTGATCTCGTCGTCGCTGATTAACGACCCGACGCTATCGATAACACGACCGAACGAGAGACACGCTAGCAAGAGCCGAAACGTCTGATCGAGAACGATGCGGTAAGGTTAGAAATGTCTGAGATGGCAGGAATCGAAACGATCGGCGTTTCAGGCGATTACGAGATCGACACAGATCGTTCGACGAGCATCGGACGAAGGATATGGTGTCGTCGGAAAATGACGAAACGACGATTAGCAGCGTGAAACGGAGAATCAGAATCGGAATCGGAGCCGTTTCGCTTCGGTTTCGCTGGACTCACCTCTAGAGGGAGGCAGGGGCTGGTTGCGGCCATGTTCCTACATGCGTTCGAGCCTCTGCCCTGCTGGCGATTCCCTCTTCGTGCTGAGGCACCACTTTAAGACAAACCACACCACCACTCGACGAACGGCTCCGTCTCCTCGACGAACACAGTAGCCCTTCCTCGTAACGAACGATCAACGAACGACCGTGTAGAACGAGAAGGAAACGAAAAGAAAAGAAAAAAAGAAAAGATTCGATATCACCACATACCACCACCTCCGTTTCGATAATCCTTTATCCTTTGCTTCGTCTTCTTCTTCTTCTTCGAGCACCGCGTACACGGCGCCGTTCTTATTCGTTTCTTCTTCCGGTTGACCGCACGCACGATTCGCGCAAAAACGATCCCTCGCAGAGACTCGAAGAGACTGGAGAGAGGGAGAGAGAGAGACAGAGAGAGAGAGAGAAAGAAAAAGAAGAGAGGGGGGATTGCTCTGGCTCTCTCCTAAACTCTAAACTCTCTCGATCTCGACGACGGGACAAGCTACTACCTTCCTTTTCTTCTTCCTCGTCTTCCACCAGCACCTCTCTTCCTCTCCTTCTTCCTCCTCGTCCTCGACGTCGTCGTCGTCTTTCCTCCCTTTCAAACCTCCCTCCCCTCCTCTCCTGCGGCAGCACGACAGAACGCACTCTCCTCCTCGTTTCCACGCGAAACGAGGATTCCTTTTTCTCCTCGGTTCCTGCTTCCGCACACGCACTCGCACTCGCACCTGTTCCTCTTCCACCGCCTCCTCCTCCTCTTCCTCCGCCTCCGCCTCGTCCAGATCCTCCTCCACCTCTTCGTTCCCGTCCACGTCCTTCTCGACGGCCGTTGCTTCCCGTCCTGCTCGTCGTCCTCGTCTTCGTCGTTGTCTTCGTCGTTGTCTTCGTCCTCGTCGTCGTCGTCGTTGTCTTCGTCGTCGTCGTCGCCGTCGTCGTCGTCGTCACCGCCGCCTCTTTCAACCGCCACTGTACCACGGTCGCATAACAAACGCACTCGCGTCCCTCAGCGTATCCGAGGGCGATGAGCGGCGACCACGAGAACCTTTCCTTCACAGACACCCGCACTCTCTCTCCCTCTCCACCTCCTCGCGTATCCACTGAAACGCGTATCCACTGGGGCTGTCGATTACGCGAACGATTCTTCGCGTACACTACCACCGTCCTCGTCCACGTCCTCGTCCACGTCCGCGTCCACTTCCACGTTCACGTTCGCGTTCATGTTCACGTCCACATCCGCGCGCGTTTCAACGCGTGCGTTATGAGGTCCCGCCGCCGATGATCGTCCCGATTAGCGTTCTCCGAATAATCCGACCGTGCCAGGGAGGATACCGAACCTCGCCGAGAAGGTGTCCTCGAATCACGTCCCTATCTATTCCTTTCCCCTTTCTCTTTTGTCCGTTTCACTCGGCCGGAAGTTCACGCACTACCTACGTTCCCCGAGCGTCGGAGCTCGTGGCCACAGCGGGACGGTCGCTCGACTACGCTCTCTCGCTCTTCCACCACCACCTACACACGAGCATTTCCCGTCCCTTTTCATTTCAATCTCCGTCCCTCTCTCTCGCTCTCTACCACCCTGCCACCACCACCAACCACGCGTCCTCTTTCTCTCGCACCCTTACCGATTCGGTTCCTCTTCGTCAACCGATAGTTCCCTCTCGCTTCCGTTTTGGCTCTCTATCCTCGCGTCCTCCTCTTCCTCGTTACTCCCTCCTTTTTCCACCCTCCTCACCATACGCTGAGCTTCGTCCTCTTCGTTCCCACGACTTTCCCCTGATCCCTCTCTCTCTCTCTCTCTCTACCCCTTCTGCCCTCTAACCCCGCCGTCTCCGTGGCATCGCGAGCTCCTCTCCTCGTCCACCTTGGGATTCCGCGACTCGGTGCTTTCCGTTCTGTTACTTTTCAACGTCCCTTCCTTCCAGGTTCTATTCTCCCTTTCTCTCTCCCACCCCCGCTACATCCGTGTTTGCCTCTCCTTATCGCGTTTCGTTTCGCACTCCACCCCGCAGCGAGACCCACGATTCTTCCCTTACTCCTTCCGTTTCACTGGATCGCGCTCCCTCGATGCCTCGTTTATCCTTCTTCCTCCGCTGCGTTCCACCCTCTGGTGGGGAGACAGGCGCGTATCGCGGACACGCGAGAACCCCGACTGTGCTTCCCTCGATTTCCCGCGAACATTCAAACGTACGGAACAACGTTGCGTCACCGCGCGATATTTTTTCGTGTACTCCTGAATCGAACGAACCTTCCTTCCGTCTGATCGTTCGACGAACTAACTGTAACGGCGTTTAATCGACCTGATAAACGAACGTACCCAACGATTCCCCGACAGCCGAGCGCGAACGTTTTTTCTATTGTTGTTGTTATCGGTCTCGAGCGCGTCTTCGAGACACACCGTCACACAAGTTTGTAAACTACTTCTTGCTTATAGTCCCCGCGCAACGTGTCCGACGCTTATTACTCCTCTTCGTCCTCTTCGACGGTTTCAATTCGAACGTCACCCTAGAGACGCTCTCGCGGTAGAACTAAAATCATCTACTAAAAATTGTCCAACGAGATAACGGTTGCAGTTCGAAACCTTTAAACCTTGTATCGTTATAATCCTTCGAAAATTGCAAAGTCTACACGGTTCTCCAAATAACTCTATTCATGCCCAAGGTTCACTCGGCAATATTACATTCCCGAATCAACGTTCCAGAACCCATAAAGATGGCAGGTCGATGGACAGTTTGCAATTCGAAAATGTTTCCCCTTTTCCTGACAAATCGGTTTCGGTGGCAATTTTGATATCGGTCCCCGATCATCGGAAAGCTCATCCGGTCGAAACACCAGGTGTCACGACGCACGCGGCTCCGTAACCGGTGTGCGTAAGAATTCGTGACCGTAAGTGAGCTTTCGCTCTCTTTTGTGTGCGTCGAACCGATACTGCCGGCAGCGGCGAAGCATGCGCCGCCGTCGTGCTTTCCAGCAGAGTGGGGAGGGATGCGAGCTTTCGGGGGTGCACGAACGTTCCTTGCAATCTGGGCGCCCCGTCCGCCCACTACAACTTTCGAATAATTTATAGGAAACCGTTGTTTCCTGGTTTCGCCGCTTCAGCAAACGGATCTGCTCGAATCTCACGTCACAACGATAACAATTCGAACGATGAAATTTATAAAATAGTCTGGGAAGGGTCAAATCACGTTAAATCAGTCAGCGATCTTTGTTAATCACACGTAAGTAAGATATCGGACCGTACCTTTGATCGCTACTGTGAATCTGGATTAAATGGATGGTTCAACGATCACGGCCCTGAAATGCCAAGTTAACACGTTGACTGCCACAGTGAAAAAAGTCGTTCGTAGCCGGACACACTTTATTTCGTTTTTTTAAGTCATAAATAATCGAAAATGTATGCGTTTAATCAATAGAGGTAGATTGTCTTATTTTAAATTATACTGTGATATTAATTTTACAGAAAAGTATTGTAATGGTATTTAAATAATCCAGCCTCTTTGCAATGTTTCAAATACGAGTTACCTCGTACAAAAAAACAGTCGGCATTATCCCCGAAACAGATAAATCTCGAAACACCGTTCAATTCTTGTTCCTCGATAAACAGTCTAGTCTTCGGGCTGGCCCCCAGGCCAACACACTGATTTCGAACAGGAGATTGAGACTACCGCGCGTATATGCATATATACGTGAGCACATTAAAAAAAAAAAGGGAAGAAAAGTCGTAGTGTTGCGATGCGCCCGGATAGCTGGGCCGTTCAGTGCGATTCCACGGTATAAAGGATTCAGCTTTAAATCCGCGAGACGATGAGGCGGGCGGGGTAAAGCGAGAGGAAACAAACAGAAACGTTAGCAAGAAGGAGAGCGTATAATGTTCCCGCGAAGGAGCGAGTGAGGGCAACGATCGGGTCCTGGCGGAGGGGGGGGGGGTTAGAGAAGAGGGTGCAGCGTTCTGGGTTTCTGGGTTCGCTCCGCGACGAAGTTCGGAAAGGCTGCTGTACGCGAAGAATGTGGAACAGTAGGTCAGCGCACTCCGTGACCCCCGCCGCGGCCTACCCCTCTTCGGTGCATACACCCTGACGCGATACGTACGACCCTCCGAGCCACCCCCCCGTAACCCTCCGACTCTACGCCATTCTCCGTCTCTGTTCCTCCACTTCCGTCTCTTCTCCACCTCTTCGCGGCTCTCTCGGCCAGTCGTGTTCGTTCGTTGTCCAACGCCGCTTTACCTTCGGCAACCCCTTCTCTCTCTCTGGCTGTTTCCCGTTTCCTTATTCCTCGTGTTCGATTCGCTACGTTTGCCTTACGCTACGCTACTACACTCCGCGACTCCGCAGGCTGAATGTCACACGCGAGATTGCCGATTGTCGTTTGATCGTTGATTAGCCGATCCGAAGGATGGTCTACTTGAAGTTTCCGGTGGACGGTTCGAACGTCTGGAATACGTTCAACGTTCCGCGACCAGATAAACACCTTTTGGATTATTCTAGCCTCGACCATTCTTCGTGCAAATGGTCGTTTACCGACTTCTACACGTTCTACGCGAAAAGAACGATCTCTAGTTCCGAGTGTTCTCGTGGAAAGGGCAAGGGTACTCGTCACCTGACGTCGATGTACGATCTTCCAGGGACTTAAACCGGTATGATTTTGATACCGGTATTATGCCATCGAAGATATACCGAAACCGATGTAATATCGGTATTTATTCGGTTTCTATAAGGGTGGGGCTTATATAAGGTTATATAGGGCGAAGGTACAACCGAAAATACCGGAATTTTACGTTTCGGTGGAAGTCCCTGCGATCTTCTGCTCTATCATTTTTTTGAATCGATTCCGGCGTATGCAGAACTACCATCCAATTCGCGGTGATTCGTTTTAATGCGTGACGGGTTTGGAATTACGTAGCTACTTCGGTAATTCGTTGCGCTGGAAAAAAGACCTTGCGAACGTGCAGTCTGCGTGTACGCGTCACCCTGACTTTTCTCCGCTTTTATTTGGCCCATTTGCTAGACTATCGTTCGCGGTACGCACGAGTTGATCGCGAAACGAGACGATACGATTCCAGGTGCACGCGAACGCGATAAAATCAATATGTCTATGCTCCTCTCTCTCTCCCTCTTTTGTTCCGCACGGTCTATTATTCCCCTTTTTCTCCGTTCCAGCCCGAATTCGCGCCGCGCCGAGCCGTGCCGCGACGCCATCGATTAAACTTTCCAAAGTCCCAAGAGGGAGGACCTGGGAGGGGATCGATGCGCGACAGGTACCAAAAACCACCTGAATCTTTCGCCTGGCCCACTGGCCCCCGATCGTTTCGCTGTGGAATGGAGCGAGGCTCCAGAATTCGTGGAACTCCGCTTATTACACTAGTTTAAAATCCAAAGAATTATATTATTCGTCGTTTTAAAAAATTACCAAAATATTTATCGAGCGATATTTCAAAAACGTATCCTTAGGATTTCATCTGATGTTGATTTTTTAGTTTAACACACCACTCTACATAAGCATTTCATTATGGAGTCTCGGTCACTAAATGACTGTAAACTAATGTTAGCGGCGTGACGATAACTTAT